ATCTTTTTCTCTTCTTTTTCTGCAGCATCATTGTCATTCCAACAGGTATAAGTCCCACATTTTAGAGCTTCACCTAATAGTCGTAAGATATAGTTTCGTTCATTTAAACTTAGGGCTATCAAGATACACGTGGATGTCACAATTCACGGATTATTGACCTGGGAACTTTAGATGTGTTGGGTCGACTACCTTCATGACCAGGTAGACTTATGGTCAGTGTGGCTTGGGATGACAGGTTCGTGGCACCCTGCGCCGGCTATCACTAGCTTTTAGGATTATTCAACTCTTCCTTTCATTGAGCCCATTTTAACCATAGAGGAATCGTGAGCCATGATCAGAAAAAAAACACACGCCACTCAACAAGTCATGTATCAACATCCTATTGGCCATCAAGGATGAAGAGGAAGTCAAGTGGTCAGGGTCGTTAAGAAATCCAAATGGTGGAGACCAATTTCAATATTGGCATTTCTACCGTGCAAAAGGATATTCAATGGAAAGATGTCTTCAATTAAAGAAAGAAATTGAATATTTTATACATTAAGGTCACCAGGGTCGTTGATTGCCAGAACAATGTGAGGGGAACCAAAATATAATCGTCAGAGTTATCAAATGAGAAGTACAACTTCAAATTATCTTATTTGAGTAAAAGATTAGTCTATAAACGCCTAAGTTTATTTTAGGCAAATTTTGAAGTTGCTTTAAATTGTCATTCCAGTGAAATTTTCTTATTTTCTCATGAAATTTTTTTGTGTAGAAAGTCCCCTTGAGGTTACGGTAGATAAGGTCCTCGTTTATGGCAATGGAAGTCAAGCCTAAGAGACAAGACTTGATGAGAAGATATGGTACCCCTAGAAGTCGAGTCCAAGAGCCAAGACTCAATGTGAAGCTACCATGCCCTTGGAAGTCGTGTCTAAGAGGCAAGGCTTGATGGGAAGATACGGTACTACTAGAAGTCAGGCCTAGAAGGCAAGACTCGATGAGAAGCTATCATGTCTCTGGAAGTCAAGCCTAAGAGGCAAGTCTTGATGGGAAGATACAGTATTCTTAAAAGTTAAGCTCAAGAGGTAAGGCTCAATGAAAACCTACCATGCCCCTCGAAGTCAAGCCCAAGAGGCAAGACTCGACGGGAAGATACGGTACTCCTAGAAGTCGAGACCGAGAGACAAAACTCGATGAGAAACTACCATACCTCTGGAAGTCGAGCCCAAGAGGCAAGACTAGATGTGAAAAATGTAATCCTGAAATTTAAGCCCAAGGGCAAGACTCGATGAGAAGATACTATGCTCTTAGAAATCGATCCCAAGAGGAAAGACTCAATGGGATGATACGGTACTTCCCCTGGAAGACATGCCCATGAGGCAAGTATCAATAGGAAGTTGGTAGTGAACAGAGTCGTCACTAGAAAGACTCCCGAGAACAAGTAGTTGGCAGGGTCTCCACTCAAAGACTTTAGAAGGCTACAAATCTCAGAAGGCACATGTGCATTAAATACCTCAGATAGCTACACGCCTCGGAAGGCACAACTACATCAATGACCTCAAAAGGCTACAAGTCTCGGGAGGTACAAGTACATCAAATATCTCAGAAAGCTACAAGCCTCAAAAGGCACCGGTGCATTTCAAGCTTCTAAAAGGCATTAGCCTAAGAAGATACAAGTCTTAAAATATACACACCCAAGTGGATATAAATCTCAAAAGACACAAGTATGAAAAATTACATAATACCTTTTTTAAGTGCATGCGCTAACTTTAATTGCAGAATTTTGCATAATTGAGAAGTCACAAATACTTCAAAAGTAACATCAAAGACGTACAGACAGAGACATTATTACCATGTATAAATGTCACATCAGATGATTAAAAAAACTATAAAAAACCAACAATAACTAATACAAAAGCTACAAGAGATACCGTCGCTACAGAAGCATGAAAATCTTCCCCCAAAGAGCGGCAGAAAAACTATAGCATTTCTTTATCTCCATAGAAATGCGTAGCAGTAACAAGCAAGAAGCTCTCGAGTCACCTGTTGGGCAGGGATGGAGAGAACTTTTTCATCTCACCGATGCGAAAGAAGATCATGTTGGTAACCTGTTATGCAGAAAGGGAACAACTTTCTTTTGTGTCGCAACATAAAAGAGGATCTAGTTGTTCGTTTGTTATACAGAACGAGAATGACTTTTTTTTGCGTCATAAAACAAAAAAGATTATTGTTACTTGCCTGCGACGCAAGATGGAAACAACTTTCTTCTTCCCAGCAACGTGAAAAAAGATCTTATTGTTTGTTTGCTGCGCAGGAAATTGACGACTTTCCTCTTAGCGGCAAAATGCAAGAAGATTTTGTTGTTCACCTGCTATGTTGGACGGGGATGAGTTTCCTATTTGTCGCAACATGAAATAAGATCTCATTGCTGACCTACTACACATGATGAGGATGACTTTCCTCTACACCACAACGTAAAATAATATCTTGTTGCTCGTCTGCTATGCAGGATAGATATGACTTTCTTCTGCAGCGCAAGGCGAAAGAAGATCTCACACTTATTTCAAAATTTCATCACCCAGAAATTTCTCTAACGATTTATATGTGTAGAAAGCTCCTAATATTACAAACCAGGTGAAGTAGAAATTTTGAGAAGGCCTGCAAAAATGTCAGAATGATGAAAATGCCTAAAATACTGAGGTATGATTTATATTTAGAGTTTTTCTTTCCACATGTAAAACTAAAACATTAAACAAGCACAACATTTCTTAATTGCTCGTCTGCAATGCAGGAAGGCGATGACTTTCTGCTACACCACAACATGAAAGAATATCTTGTTGCTCGTCTGCTACGCAAGACGAGGATGACTTTCATTTGCACGATAACTCTAGAGAATATCATGTTGCTCGCCTGTTAAACAAGTTGGGGACGACTTTCCTCAGTACCGTAACACGAAAGAATATCATGTTGCTCGTCTGCTATGCAAAATGGGAAATACTTTCTATTGCACTCCAACATAAAAGAAGATTCTGTTGTCTGCCTATTACGCAGGTCGAGGACGACTTTCTTTGTCTGGAAATTTCTAGATCACCTGTTAGGTGGGATGCCGACTCCACCGGCTCAAAAAAGTCATCTGCATTTATGAATAAAATTTAATACAATTTTTTAAAAAGAATGTATAAAAAAATAAAAATGGGCTTAAATTCTCGTGCTCTTTGGTCTTCCATGTTCCCACCCTTTAATCTTCCAAATCCCCCATTAAAAGTAAACAAAAAAAGCAAGTGTTTGGAAAAATAAAAAGAAAAAAAATTTCCGCCGTTTCCACTTCCACCTTTTCAAATTCCCACAATCTAATTCAATAAAAATAAAGAAATTTTGAATTTTTTTCAGAAATACGTGTCCAAGAACTGAGCTAGTTCAATTAACTAAGAAATAATTATTTATTTTTATTTTTATAATACTCATGCACGAATTATGTGTGTATATATATATATATATATATATATATG